TTGTTGCTGTTGCTGTGCTGTTGCTGTTATTGGCGATGTTGGTGTTGGTGTTGGTGTTGGTGCTGCTGCTTGTGTTGGTGCTGGTGCTGGTGCTGGTGCTGGTGCTGGTGCTGGTGTTGGTGTTGGTGTGGTTGGTGTGGTTGGTGTTGGTGTTTGTGTTGTTGTTACTGTTGCTGCTGCTGCTGCTGCTGCTGCTGGTGCTGCCGCGGGTGCTGTCGTTTGTCTTGTTGTCGCTGTTGCCGTTGTGGTGGCTGTCGTTGTGGTTGCAGTTTCGGCTGCGGTTGTTTTTGTTGTTGCCGTTGCTGTTTGTGCGCTTGTTTCTGTTGTTGTGGCCAACACAACCACAAGCACAACAACCAACAAGAACCACAACAGCAGCAGCAACAGCAACAGCAACAGCAACTACAACAGCAAGCAGAAGCTGCAGCAGCAGCAACAACAACAACGACAACAACAACAACGACGCCCACAACACCGCCAGCGCCAGCGGCAGCAGCAACGACCAACAACAACAAAGCGCCAACAGCAAGAGCAAGAACAAGACCAACAGAAGCAGCGACCGCGACGAAGCTGCAACCTCCGTCGTGATGCCAACAGTAATAGCAAGACTAGAGTTGCACGGCACAGGACCAAACAAGAACGCAAAGCTGTTCGAAAACCAAACAGTGCCTGAGCATGTCCGTCACGTGCAAGCCAGAGGTCTGCCGGTGGCACCGTTGATGTCCCCTTGGTGATGCGAGGGGGCATGGTCTGCAGCCTAGCGGTGTAATCAATCGGTCAGGTTTCGGATTTCCGGTGCGGACTTCTTATGCAGTTCAATCTAGTTGCATATCCCGGCTACTTCTGGAATATCTGCTCTCCGCATGCTACAAACACCCAACTCGTCCAATCCCCCAAGCCGCCCTCAATGTTAGACCTTCCAGTTCCAAAGTGCTTGCCAGGTCAGCACGTTCAATGACTACCTCCGGTTTCTGATGATGTTGCGGAACTTTGGCGAGCATCTGCCTCGGTAGGGGACTTTCCTCAGGGGCGGTCGGGATCATTGGCCTGAGAGTTTGGAAGTTCTTGTGGCCAGGGCTTAGCTACTACCGGTCTTCAGTCTGAGGTGCGGCAGAAGGAGCTCCATATCTAAAGCTTGCGAACTTCCAACTCCAGCGCATGAGCCCTGTAAGCCCTCAATGCCAAACTTTACAGTCCTAATTTGATCCGAAAGCCTTGCACCTTTCAGATCTCACTGAAACAGGCTTGATGGAGTTCGTGTCCTCAAGCGCGAGACGGTGCAGCTGATGCTCAGACCTTAGCCTGTCCTGAGGAAAGAGGGGTTCTGCGGCTTTGGGCTTGGAGATCGCCATTGTCGTGGATGGCTGTGTGTGTGGGTTCTCGAATTTAGGGTCGACGGAGGTTCCTACTTGCAGGCTATAGCCGCATGCTTTGTTTCGATGTTCGAAGTGTCCTGGTCTTCCCACCGGTCAGGACGGCTTTGCTGCGGTTGCGTCTCGTGGCATTGGCTCGTCTTCAGTCGACCCAGCACGCCTGCACTCCCAAAGAACCCGGCAGGATCGGTCCATCGGGACCCAGGCCATGTGGGGCAGCCCACTGCACCAGCAACTTCTAGACCACCGGGCCCCACAGCCAAGCTCAGGATTTGCAACCACATCCCGGTAGTGCGACCCTCGGTTCAGGGGCGCTGCAAGTTCGCTGTGCGAGCCGTGGTTTGAGGCTGTCGGTTTGCGGAGGGGCAGCTTTTCTAGTCAGCATGGTTGAAGATGTGTGTTCTTCCTTGTGCTGTGAGTCTCGCGCACCCACGACGCTTACGACTTGGCTAATGGGTACCACGGACCGACAAGCCATGGTTCCGGCGCCTGCGTTCTGAGTTTGACCAGACCATGAATTGACCATGGTTGGTTTGTCTTGTCGCTTCATTCGGGATCCCCTGTGCTCAATCCTGAACTGCGCTGCACCTTGCAAGTGGAAGGCCAGGATCCAAGGTCCGAAATTTCAGGATCCTACTTAAGCCTACACGCCTACATGCCCCGTTGCGCGCTCCTCCCCGTCCTCCCCGTGACGTGAGCTCCGGTCTCGGGGTCTCCCTTTCCAAGGCCTGCTACGGGAAGAAGACGGTCTTCGTCTTCGACAAGCCGGGCGTGGGCTACAACTGCCGCTTGCCTCGGTCCGACGAGCGACGCGGGACAGCGAAGCGGGACAGGAAATCCCTGGAGAAGAAGGGAAGACCTAGAGACCTAGAGCTGCTTCAACTGCGACACCTCCTTGCCCCAAGTCTGTTGCCGCACGCCTTTGGGCTTAGGCTCCAGTCTCCGGCTCCAGTGCCTGTAGACCAGCAATACCGGAATGCTGAGCCTGCCATGCCTGCGATCAGGATCATCCCATCAGTTTTTCTTCTCTAAACACTACACAACGTGATCAGTGTAGGTGTCCCTTCTCAGCAAAGCACAGCAAGCACAACTCAGGTCTTCGACAGGGAAAGACACTGGTAGCAGCATGTTTCCGAGGGGTGGCCACCTCAGTGAATCTTTAAGTTTGTCTTGCACCAAACAGCACTTGGTTTCTGCGTTCATGCTCTAAGCTTCCGTCGCCATGCGGTACCTCGGTGATTCACGGACTTCTCTCACGGCCAACCAGGACAAGACCGAATGGGGCTTCAATGTCGGAGCCTTTGGTGGCCTGCGATTAAGCTTGGCAGAAGAGCCGAAGCCAGTGCTGGGCATCGCCAGCAAATCAGCGATCGAGGCTGCAATCGCAGAATCCGCTCGACGCTATGACATTGTTGTGCTGGGTGCCACTGGGTTCACAGGACGGTTGATGGTAGAGCACTTGGATGCGCTCGTTTGTAGTCAGAAGGATCCGTCCAAAAGCCGGAAATGGGCGATCGCTGGACGGAACATGCAGCGGCTGCGTGCATTGTGTTCCTCGTGCCGATCTTCACCGGACGCGCTGGCAGCAGATAGCGATGCTTCAACGGAAGAGGTCGCCAGCCAGTGCACGGTCCTCATTGCTGCGGCCGGGCCATATGCTCAGTGCGGCGAACGGGCAATCCGTGCTTGCGTGAAGAGCCGAACCCACTACGTGGATGTCTCTGGCGAGTCGGTGTGGATGCACGAGATGATCCAGCGATACCACGCGGAAGCAAAGCAGAGGGGTGTCCTTCTTGTGCAGGCGGCTGCACAGGTATGTGCGATTGATGATCTCAACTGCTACCTCCTGGCACAGAAGTTGGGGCCACTGAAGCAGTTCCGGGAGTATTTCTTTTCAGTAGGGGGCACTACCGGTGGGACCTTCGCGACCAGTGCCGGAAGCATGGAGGAGATGACGGAGGAGAAGCTCCGAGTCTTTCAGGATCCCTTCAGTCTCGGTGGTCCCTCTCGTGCCCCAAAGCCCGAGGAGTACGACTGTAAGGAGCCGCTGCAGGATCCAAACTACCCTTCCCTGTGGCAGCAGCCGGCCTACAACGGCCACACGGGGGGTCGAATCCTCCGGCGCAGCCGCCAGCTCTTCGAGGAGGTGAACTCTGGCAAGCTGCCGTCGTACGGAGACGTGACGGTGGTCATCCGAGATGCGGCGACCAGCAAGCGAGCCGCTGAGCAGGCTCTGAAGGCCATGGCGCCCATAGAGAGTGCCGAGCAAGCTCAAGTAGCAGCTCAGATGATGAAGCAGCAAGTGGCACAGGGGCAGATGCCCAAACCTGGCGAGGGGCCCCCACCCGAGACTCGAGCACTTTTCTATTCTGAGGTCTTCGCTCTTGGCGAGGGAGAGGATGGCAAGTGGGCGCATGTACACTACACAGGGCCAGAAGCTTATGAGGTGACTGCCATGGCTGCAGTTACCGGCGCCCTAGTCATTGTAGAGGAGCAGGAGGCCATCCAGCCTGCAAAGCGCGGAGGCATCGTCACACCAGCCTTTGCTTTCCATGGCACCAGCTACGTGCAGCGCCTTGAGGCCAATGCCTTTGCCGCGAAGGCCGGCAGGAAGATGAGCTTCAAGCTTCTGGAGGGTAAACCGACCGAGGATTCTCTGAAGGATGCGATTACTCGCAAGACGAAGAGTGCCGTGCAGGGCCAGGCTGACATGAGTGCCGGGAAGCTGCGGGCGTGGGCATGACCTTGCCAAACGCTGGTGATTTGGTGTTCGCTACGGGCTTCTCCAGCATCTTCCGAAGTATCAAAACGGCATCGGAGAAAACCCGGCAGTGCATCGACAGCCTCTGTCGCGGATGGGTCGAGAGTTCTAGCGTTGCGGGCTCTAGCAGAATCGCACCGATCTTAGCAGCCGTCTCCATCATCATTGCTGTCGCTGCAAGCATGGTAAATCCCTTGCATCACTCCTAGCATGAATCATGCAACAAAGCAACAACAAACTTCTGGGCCCTACTGGAGACCGAGTCCGTCATGTTTGAAGTCCCAAGGCTTGGGCCAGATACAGGCTGCCCACCCGAAGCAGGATCGAGGCTCTCCGGTGCTGGCTTGGTGTGTTTTGGATTTTATGGGGTCTCAGTGCTTTGAAAGCAGGGTAATGCGGTATCTATCGTCGTCGTAGTAGTAGTAGTAGTAGGAGACAGGAAGTTTAGCAAATTATTCGGGGACCGTCATGAAGCAGGGCACAACAGCCGTTTGCGAACCCGGCTAGGCCCGAAAATCCACTGCCTGAATTCCTGAATCCAAAGGTCAACGCCAAAGCTTGTGCAGGAGCTTCTTGAAACGGCACTGCCGTCCTTTCGGAAACATTGCGCATCTTGCGCAACTTTGATAGACCATACCCCCAAACACTTTTGAGTTGCTCCGGCCCCGTCACCTGTAACTATAATCCGCAGGAGCTTGTTCTAGGTGCTCAGGCCGAATTGTTTTGAAGGTGAGAGAGGGGCAGGAAGAGAGTATTGTTTTGGATTCCCAGGGCTGTTGAAGAGGGGTTGGATCCAGACTTCAGCGCGTCTACTCTCGACCCGCTCTCGGCCAGAATTTTCCCAGACTCCCGGCAGACTCAGACGTGGCCAGGTCTCCCGCAGCCGCACAGGATCAGAATGGGAACGGCGCCTGTGTGTCAAGTATGTAACGCTTGAAACCGCAAGCAAAGTCAAGCCACACAAGTTTTTTTTTTTGCTCTTGGTGGCCGTTTTCGTCGAAAAGCAGTTAGGATGGAATTCTTCCCGTGCTTCTACAGCCCAAACTCCATCTACCGGGCTTGCAGCGCTGTTCTTGTATTTGTTGATTCCACTGGGCACGGAGCCCTTCCATCAGCGGCGCACAGCACGGATGGAGATGCACGAAGTTCTCGAGGCTCCTCACAGTCCTGAACGACATTGATTGACTTAGAGCCAGTTCTATGCGGTTGGAACAGAGCTAGGCGTTGATGGGGTTTCGCGGGTTGTGCAGTAATCTAGGAGACTTTGGGTAGGCCAAGTTTCGCATTTGTGGCAAGTTTCGGGGTCTGCTGTGGGGCTCCAGGTGAAACAGTGACTGCATAGCTTTGGTATCATTTGGGCTGTTGCTCAACCATCCATTTGGATTTCGAGGCATTAGAGCTGCCGTGATCCGAAACCCAGCCAAATAAAAGACTAAGGGCTCTCCCAACACAACAGTGCAAGCGATGCCCCCAACCATACAATGTTTGCCGCCTTTCTCTTTCCGGCCCCTCGCATCCATGTGCTTCCAATCTTGCAGGCTGTGTCAGCAGCCCTGGCCGTATTGCACGCAGCATGTCACGCAGCGGAAGTCGCCCAAAATGACAGTCTCCTTGACAGACTCACTCGGTCCTAGTACAGAATGTTCTTTACATCGTCAACTTGCAAAACGACAAAAAACGGTGGTACTCCATCATCTCATTGTTAAGGGTTTTGCAACAAAGCCAACCAGTGCGGTGAGCATCGATTAAAGGAACGAGCTGAACCCGACACGAAGGTTTCCATCCGAAAGGCAACGAGCCCCATTTTTTTGGTTTGGGGTCCCTCGGGCGGCTATCCCGGTGCGAAAGGCAATCCTTGAGGCACCGACTCCCAAAAGCCTGCAACTAAAGGTCGTGCGCAGGCAAGGAGCCGGCAAGCCTGAGCCACTTTCCGGGTTTTGGGTTTAGGGCTTAGGGTTTTGCGGTGAAAATTACACAACGCACAAGAGTTGGCTCCTGCAGGGGTTGGGGCAGCTCCTGCACGTTCATGAGCAGCAGCATCTCGGCCCGATTGTGGGGCGTGGAGAGAGTTCCGGGTGGAGTCCTTGTTGGCGATTGCACAAGTCCTGATGCAAAAAAATCCTTGTTGGGGATGTTACATGACGGGATATAGTTCCTCGTGCAGTCCACATGAAGGTTAGGTTCCGTGTAAGCTAGTTTGCTTTCAAAGTCGCGCCATAGTTTCGAGCATCCGCCATGAGTCACCCAACATTCCCCCGTCGTAGACGCCAACAATAATCTTGTCGTATACCATGATCGTGCCGCAAAAGCTTGTCTAGCTTGTTTTCGGGCGTGTAGAACAATATCCGACACCGTACAAGAAGTTGTAGAACGCGGAAGCCAAGATCACAACCCATGCAATCAGCCATGAAGATCCCTGCGTCTTGGGAGCTTCTCTAGGAAGCCGGGGTCTGCAGGTTGTCACAGTTTGTAGGTGGTTTAGGTTGTTGAGTCTGGGGTGCTAGTTCCAAACTGTCAGGGCTTGGGCCCCAGGTTCAGGGCGAATGTCAGGTTCTGGGGATCTTCGCTCGAGGGTAACTTGTTGTACAGTCTTTACAACAGCCCCCCATAGCCATAGCCTCGTGGATACCTCGCTAACTGCGTATGGCCATTCCCAATCCTCAGGCCTCAGGGGTAAGGACCTTCGGGAAACTTGGTTGCCCAAATGCAGCCCCAAACAGATTTAAGTCTCAAACACGCTGCAGCTTTGGAATGAAAGCCTTGATGGCTTGATGGTAAAGCTCCGACTTGAGGATGTATATGTGATTTTCCTAGATAGCTGGATGTTCCAGACGTCGAATTCCCGGCTGTCAGGGTGCAGGATTGCATTCGGGAGCCTAGCGCTGAGATCGGTGGGTGCCCCCCACAGGCAGACCCTACTTCACAGTTGATTTCACCCGCTTACACGAGCGTTCCCGCTCCAATCCGTAGTTTAGGGGCCCCGTGCTGAAGAGGTGTTGTCCACTACTTTCGGCGGGGGCAAGAAGATGAACTGCTTAGGGCTGCAGTTTGGACATGGCAGGGCTTCAGAGTTTGGTTGGGCCGTGTGTTTGCGGCGGCCTGGGGTCTTCAGTTGAATTACAGAGTGTAACTTAGTGTAGGCCGGGTTGGACTTCGAGGCTGAGTGTTTGCAGGGCTTTGAAATGTGTCTGAGCGATACCGGAAGCCCTTGAAAAAACCCGACGCGTTTCCCTTCGCTGGGCCGCCCGCATTTCCCCGTTTGTGTCCTTAGCCGTCCCTGAAGTTCGCGCGCCGTCAAAGACCGAAGGCCGAAGCCGTCGGTAGCATGAACTGGAGAACCGTACAAGTAGCACACTGCCTTGCAGCCCATCTGAGGATGCAGGACATGTTGGCCCGGGGACTCAGTTCGTGAGGTTGGCCGGGAAGTTCAGGGTTTTGGATACTGAACATGCCACAGAGCGACTTTATGTAGGCATGGTTGTAGGCATCCATGTAGAGTGGCCATACAGTTACAAGTTGTGTATGTACTGGAGTTGTTCTTGAAAGACAAGCGGGAAAACATCGAACTATAGTCGACATCACTAGTACAGGGGTCTAGATGCATCAGTAACACTGTGATGGCAGTAAACAAAAACTCGGATTGTGAGGATAGCTACTGTAGCGGATTTTAAACAGTTTTAGAGGGCCTTATCACCTAGAACATGAAATGCCAGTGGATTGCATCAAAATTTCCCATTGAGATGTAAAAGGAAACAAGAGGGAGAATTCATACGGTATGAAAGGCAGGTGAGGAGAACTGGCGATAGATAAGGAGGGCTTCAACGGTCCCTTATCAACAAAGTGTAAACGGCCCTTCGTGATCAGAGCAACGGGTTTTCGGGCCAAGCTGCCAGGAAGCAGCGAGATAAAGATGTTCTGACAGTTACATTTGCGTGAATCAGTGCTCCATGACAAGGACTATGTTCACATGAGATGTGTAGTAGGAGCATCAGCCCTATCACTCGCCCTTTTAGCGACCCGTCCCATGGACATGGGCATGGGACGGCGACGGCTTAAATACTTACAGGGATCGAACACAGTCAGCAATACCCATGCACATCTCTGTGCCGGCCACTCATGGTGCAGTGAGAAGTTGGAGCCGTACAGCTCCTTCCCGCCTCCGTGGTTCCGCGGTGGATCCCCGCTCCACATGGCTCGCGCAAGCTGACACTGCTCTTACACCAAGGCTCCTCGCCATCGGTGCCATCGGCACCCCGCTTCTCTCGCAAGTGGCAGCGAAAGCTTTGCGCCGACGACCGACGCATTTGCGCGCCTCTGCCGCGCGCGTCCGGGATGTAGTCCCCCACGGTGGGCCGACGGTCGTCATCTCTGGGGCTAGTCAGGGGACTGGCAGGGCCCTGGCTCTGAAGTTCGCGCAGGATGGCTACAACGTGGTGCTCGCTGCGAGAGGCGCGGAGGCACTACGAGAGGCCGAAGATTGCTGCCAAGCAGTCCTCAAGCCAGGCAGGCTCGTACTGCCGGTCCCCTGCGACATAACATCTCCGGACTCCATCCAGCTACTTTTGGACACTGTCACTGCACGTTTCGCGGATGTGCGCGTTGTGGTATGCAATGCTGGAGTTTGCATGACAGGCGATTTTCTGAATACATCACTGGAAGACTTCCAGTCTCAGCTCAACGTGAACTTTCTGGGTCATGTGACGACCGTGCGTGCGTTTCTACCTGAGCTACTTCGACAGAAAGGGCGGTCTGGTCCTGTTCCCACTATTTGCTTCGTGAACAGTTTCGGTGCCCGGGTTCCTTTGCCGGATATGACTGCCTATTGTGCGGCCAAGTATGCCTTGCAAGGCTTTGCAGACTCCCTGAGGCTCGAGCTTGCAGCGCGAGGTGTGCACGTGGCCACGGTGCACCCCGGAGTCATTCGCAGCGACTTCCGCACTCGAGCACAGTGGCGCGGTACGGCCGCAGGCAGCCGAAAGTCTGCCATGGACACTTTGCTTGATGGCCAGTCCCCGGTGTCCAGCCTCGTCACGCAGTCCGTAGAGGAGGTTGCTGAGGCTGCTTACGAAGCTGTCAAGACGCAGCAGAGCGAGGCAAGTTCCGATGTGCGTAGGAAGCTGCCGAACTACCGAAGCACGAAGCTTTAGGGCTCCCCGCTGCCCCTTGCCCCAGTACGGACAGGTCGTGGTGGGCCTGCCTTTTCGCACAATGCTCACGGCATATGGCTTCGGCAAAGCACTGGGCCTTGCCTAAACGACGGTGCCCAGGCTGCAGGTCAAAGTCTGCAGCAGGCCTTCGGGCAGGGCTCTTAGAGTGGCAAAGGGAAGT